TTGTATTTTTTTTTTTTTTAAAAGAGACGGGGTTTCACCATGTTGCCAAGTTGGTCTTGAACTGCTGACCTCAGGTAATCCACCCGACTCAGCCTCCCAAAGTGCTGGGATTACAAGCGTGAGCCACCACGCCCGGCCACTAGGATTTAACTTTTAAAAAATAAATGGCGTCTTATTTTACTCAGGCTATCATGTTTGTGTGATTAACTCCTAATCATGAAATAATTTCCTTAATTTGCCGAATACAGATTTTTTTTCATTGAAGCAAATAAATTCCCTAAGATGATCCTTATTGTATACATTCAAGGATGAACATATGCATGACAGGATTTTCAGAAAAGTGTTTCAACCAAATATTTTCTTACGAGTCTTCACCTGTATTGTTTTTATGATAAAAAAATCAAAGTTAATTAGCCAAAGAGCCACTTATTAATGAACATTACCTGTGCCAAAAGATGTCATTATTTAGAGTAAATGGATACTGGCCCATATAACCTCAGCATTTTGGAAAGCTGAGATGGGAGGATTGCTCTAGTCTTTTTAAATAAAAAGTGCTGAGTGCAGTGGCTAATGCCTATAATCCTAGTTCTTTGAGAGGCCGTGGTGGAGAATCACTTTTAGCCAGGTGTTCAAAATCAGCCTGCACAACACAGGGAGACCCACCCTACAGCTACAAAAACTTAAAAAATTAGCTCAGTATGGTGACACCTGCCTGTGGTCCCAGCTAAAAAAGCAAGTCAAATTCCTTCTTTTTAATGCCAAGAATAAGAGGAATTCAGTCTTTTTTTTTTTTGAGACGGAGTTGTTTCGCTCTTGTTACCCAGGCTGGAGTGCAATGGCGCGATCTCGTCTCACCGCAACCTCCGCCTCCTGGGTTCGGGCAATTCTCCTGCCTCAGCCTCCTGAGTAGCTGGGATTACAGGCACGCGCCACCATGCCCAGCTGATTTTTTGTAGTTTTAGTAGAGACGGGGTTTCACCATGTTGACCAGGATGGTCTTGATCTCTTGACCTCGTGATCCACCGGCCTCGGCCTCCCAAAGTGCTGGGATTACAGGCGTGAGCCACCA